CCCGTTGGTGGGTGTCTCCCCTAGCCAGGGCACGCCAGGTTTTCAGGGGGGGGTCCAAACCCCTCCCGGAGAGCAGATCGCAGCACCCCGCCCCCGCCCGCCTGGCCTCCCTCTGCTGCCGAGGCATGCTGCAGTGTTTGCCACCGCAGCAGTCTGTTACCATGGAAACGCCGGGTACCCCGCATTGGATGCAGGGTGGGGGGATGCCTGGAAAGGGAAAGGGAAGAAGAGGCTCTGGGTGGCCTGGGATGGAGGCACTGGAGGCTGGTCCAGCTCCAGGCCCCCGGGAAGGCTGGGGCCCAGTGGCAAGGGGGTCTCTGGGGCCTCTGCACCAATCTGTGGCCCCGTGGCTCACTACAGTGGCCCAGCAGGATCCTGTGGCAGCCAGCTCCTCCTGACATGCCCTGGAAACTGTCCCCAACAGGACAGCTCCTAACCCTCCCCAGAGCCCTGGGGCAGCTGATCCATTGCCCGAGGCCGGACCCTAAATCCCTTGGATCTCCCCCTCTGTCCACAATGGGGTCCCCCTCCCCCAGCCAAGCCCCAGCTCTGTTGCCACTAGACCTGCCAGCCTTGAGAACGTGCCACCATCTTGAGGCTGGCACCCAGTGGCCATCAGCATCAGGCCCTGCCGGCTGTGGGGGAACTGTCCGGCCTGATCCTGGCTTGTGGACGGGAAATCCGGAGGGAGGATTAAGGGAGAAGCCATCTGCTCTGGAGCTGGGAGGGCTCAGACTTGCATGGAGGGGTGTCACCTCACGGCAGGGCTGTGGGAGCCGACGAGAGGTTCCCATAGATGCCCCCAGCCCTGGGGACATGAGAAGGGAGCGTGGCTGTCAGGGTGCTGGCAGCTGGAGCCTCCGCAAGCATGGACACCCACTGCAGGGAGGCACCGGGAGTCCCCCAGCCCCGAGGCCTTGCCTCCAGGCTCTGTATCTCCTGGCACCAGCAAACATGATGCGCCTGGCGGCAGGGAGTTTCTCCAGGTGTCTCTAAGAGGAGGGAACCCTGGCCCGGTGCCCCTGGGTCTCGGGGGGACGGGGACAAGGGGGGAGAGCCTGTGTCCAGCAGCCTCTGTGAACCTCCCTGTGCTCCCCACAGCAGGGAGGGCCTAGCTGATACAACAGCCTGGGGCCACGCTTTGTGCCTTAGCTTCCCCTCCCAGCTGCATCCAGGCATTCAACCCACTCTAGGGCTGCTTGGACCCTGCAGCTTGACCATCGGCCCCAACACTGCGCTCAGGTCCTAGCCATGACCTTGGTCAGTCCAGCCTCAGCACCCCAGCCCCCTGCCCCAGAGCCACATACCCCCACCAGAGGCAGGCTTCCCTCCCCCCCAAGCGTTTCAGCAGCTGGTGGCTGGGGGGCACCCCAACCCCTGCACCCCCCCATCTCCACAGGCCAGCAGGGCCTGGCGTGTCACCGCATCCCACCCCGGGATGTCCGGGAGGAACCCACCAGGCCCTGATGGGGAAGAGGGAACCGGGTCCCAAGCAGTGGCAGCACTGGACAGCAACACCAAGTGGGGGGTTAAGAGTCTTGCCAAGGGCCGGCGCCAGCCACCAGTGGCAGGGCCAGCCTTAGGTCCAGGGCTGGTATGGGGAGCCTCGTGCACGTCTCTGCTTGGAGACAGTTACGGTGGGGGAGACCCAGGGGAGCCGTGCCAGGCTGGGGTGGGGGGCAGGCAGAGGGCTGGCGTAGGCACGGCCACCGCAGCCCACCTGCTGGGAACCTCTGGCAATGCACCCTGGGGCAGGCAGAGGGCTGGCGTAGGCACGGCCACCGCAGCCCACCTGCTGGGCACCTCTGGCAATGCACCCTCCCACCCCCTGTGCCTCAGTTTCCCCA